TTTCCAATCTAGTTGATTTTTTGTTTTCTTTTCGAAAACTTTCGGACACTTTGTATGTAAATTACGACTTTTTGCGTTTTTCCGGAGATAAACAAATCCCTCGAGTAATTACGTATGTATGCAATCCAAATAACATCCGGCCGGTTATTTGGGTTGCATACATTGTTCGGAATGCGAGCAATGCTGGAAACACGTTTTAAGAATGCCTATGCGTCGACATTTCCGAAAGCGCGAATATTAACGCCAAGCGCGAAGCGGGTGGCAATAAAAGTAAAGAAAGAAAAATGTCGGGCGTTTTTGGTGAAGTAATGAAGACATACAACCGTCTGTTAAAAAAAAACTGCCAGTAAAAGAAAACAAAAGATATATTCTAAAATTTAGTTCGCTTTCTTTTTAGGCAACTGATTGTACATGACATTGTTGTATTGGCTGTGGAAGTGTAGGCGTTAAAAATTCTAATTTTTTTCTGTTTTCAAGTGGAAAAATAAAAGAATTGCGCGTGTGGAAATGTGAAACTGGTAGGAAAAGCCACTGGAATACCATTCATACCTCGTTTCTCGCTTTTTCGCCGTGTGCAAGATTTATGTTTATCATTTCGTGCGTGTTCAGAGTGCACAACGTGCAATGAGAGCAAAAAACGCTTAAAACGCACGAAAAAAGCTAAAATAACAGATTGTACAAAATTGCCTCCAATATACCGACTGTTCTTTTTTTAATCAGGACATTTAAAGATTCAAAATTTCCTAACAATGAAATTTGCTTATAAATTACATTCCGGTTTTAAATATTAGTACGAGTTGTCTTTTGCGATTTTTCCTCTTTAGATGTGCCTTTTTATTCTATGGTTATCCTTCCGAGCGAAATAATAAAGCGTGCCCGCTTGCCCTTTATCGTCACGGTCGTTTTTACGTCCCCTGCTTTTTTATCTCGTCGTCTCGTCGCGTGTCATGTCATAAAATACGAAGAAGAAAATTAAACAGGAAGTTTACCGCAGTCCACGAAGATGTGTCTTGGTTTCAGTGGAGTAGTAGATGAAAGAGTGGAACAAAAGCGAAAAGCGAACAACTGAAAGAAAAACTCGCGGCCCGCACGAGCGAAAATGATGAAATGGCTCGCGTACAATGAAAAACTTTTCACTATATAATGCCAATGAGCGCGCGCGGAATAAAAAAAAACTAGTGCGCTTGTAAAAAACGTGGAAACTAGGAAGAAAAGAGAGTGGTTACGGATGACCGCCCTCTACGCGGAGTAAAGGCGAACTATAAATAGTCGGAGGTGAAGAGAAAAAGAAAAACAACATTGTAATGTGGGTGAGTGTGAGTGTTGTGGCAAGGATAATGAAAAAACAGTCGTGGGGAAAAAATGCAAAGGAAACAACAGAACAAACGACATAAGGGACAAAAACGTCGAGGAAAATCCTTGACTCGAGGGTAGTTTAGCGACACGTGTCGCGAGTTGATGAAAATTCCAATCGTTCTAATGCATACGGAGAAAATTCAAAATATTCACATTTTCGCTATTTTAATCCCTAAAATTTTCACTTCAAATTCATCCCCTCGTGGAAAGTTTCCAAAAATACGTGGAAAATGAAAATTCCAATAGCTATTGTTATTTCATTGACGTGCGTTTCACTGACGAACGAAAATCAAACAAAAAATGCGTACAGAGGGATGAGAGGGTGGACAAACGGAATTAAAAAGGAAAACGCGTACGAAACTTTTTCTGGGTCAATGCTATCACATGAAATGTAGCACCCACCCACGTATGTAGGAAACGGGGGTGCGCGTAATCAGAAGTTAACGAGCGCACGGGGGTTGTGCGGCGGGACGGAACGGACGGCCGGACGCGTATGCATAAATCGGATGGAAAACTCGCTCAACGGAAGGAATTCAATCTGTTTGTTTGCAGCGCGTATGTTTTGAATAATATTTATGTTTGCTTTAGTTTAGGGAATGAAGATATCACGTTTTAATGTTTTTGTTACTTTAGATTATTTTGTTGTGCATGCATTTATTTTTTGTCCAAACAGCGAATGTAAATCAGTGTCTTAATGTTGTTTTTTGCAATGTCGCTGGTGTCGCAATGCAGCATTCGACGATAGATCATTTTTCACCCTCCGTGTGGCAACCGACGGCTCATCTGCATATTTGCATACTATCAGCGGCGCATCAAAGCGTATCAGCGTATATTTTTTACTCGAACACACCCTTCCTACAACGTTGGAATTACGTAATTGAATTAATCCGTCCGGAAATATGCTAACTGTAATTTTTTCACCTACTTTTCACTTTTTCGGTATGTGTGCGTTGCTGTTGTTGAAGAATCTTGAAAATGCTAAAACAACCCCCATTAAACTCCGCACGCGTAGCATAATCTGCTATCGAGGGCGAGCACGTCGTCGACCCGCTCTTCTCGCGTCAAGGACCCGCCGCGATAAGAAAACGCGACGACGCACCGGAATCCCGAGTGCGGAAAACTACGCCCCGAAAGTCGTGATGAAAAGCCATGCCATCGAAATTCAAGGGCACGACTTGACTTTTCATCCCTTATCTTAAACTTAAAGATTTTTGTATTTTTCAAATTTGAAAATCTAATATTTCGCGATTGACAAAATATAAAATACGTTTATTTTGAGTTTACGCACCACTCAAAGCAAATCAAACGGTACAAGGTCACTGGTGCGTTTCCGGCGCGAGTACCACGAATTTATTTCATTTAATTTCCCTTTCTTAACATTCTCAGCAAAAGCACCCACCCTCTTTGCCCTGGCTTGCGTCGTGCGGTAAACTCGGGCACTTCTGCACGTACTTTAATTCATCGCCGAGAGTCGTCGACTTTTATTTCTTGAGCGCCCGCTTGAATTTCGTTATTAAAATCTTGCCCTAATCATATTGCCCACGCACCCCCGACCACCTAAAGAAGCAAAGTCGAGCCGAGTCGAGCCAAGGCTAATAGTAATTCGTATTTCTTTTTATAGCGAACGAAATTGTTCGAATTGCTCCAATTTTACGCATGGGGAAACACATAACCTACAAATACAAGCAACATGATGAAATTAGATTATAATATTAATCGAGGTTAAATAAACCGGGGGCATCATTTTTACAAATGTAATAATTTGATGTAGTTTATGGGTAGTTAGTCGATAGTTAGGAGATGTTGGTTGTGTGGGTGGTTTTAATTTAGTGAGGAAAGTTCTCTCTAATGGTGCACATCTGGCGCGAAAATGAACGCCGCCGCCGCCACCGCCATGTTCGCACTACATCCCTTATGAACAGAACCACCCCTCGCACGCTCGCTAATCCGCTTCAGTTGTGTGTGCAGTCGGCTGAAGTAATTTCGAACGCGTGGTACGCTTTTGCCTTTTCTTGCACTTAATTCGAAAATAATCGTCCAGCAGTGCTGCAAAGTAAAAGCAAAAAAAAAGCTACCCCAAAGTGGAATAAAGGCAAACTTCGCGGAAACTTCCGCAATACAATCACGAACGCTCGGCCAAACTAGGATATAAATAAGTTGCAAACCTAATCAACAAGTGGCTTTGTATTTTTTTTTAATAACAGAAGACCATGCATAAAATATTAAAACATTCGGATGAAATTAAATGCCTAGGCAGTAAAATCCTATTTCTGAGCGCAATTTATTTTTTTTTATACAAAAAGAAAGTAAATTGTTTTGGTGCAATTCATTACCGAGTACAATTGCGCCTCCCGCGAATTAAATTGCTTTCCGGTTGATTTGTGAGCGCCGATAATAATGCCAATTCGTTCCGCTGCCCTTATTCCACAACCCCTACGATCTTCTACATGACCCGCATTCGCAGTGATTGCGTTTTTTTGTCCACGCCCGTGCTGTGTTTTTTTTTTATCTTGCGACGCTTCTTGCTAGCTGCAGGCAATTTGTTCGAGGATAAATTGTCACATTAACACTTGCGCTCTTTCATTAGTACAACTTTCCAAATAAAACCAACAAAATTCGTTTTTCTACTTCCACCTATAAAGCGCCAGTTTTTCCACGGTTTTTAGATACAAAAAGTGGTACTTTATATACGGATGGTCAAGCCGTACATAATTTTCATTATGTACTTGCATTATGCACGGGACGGAGCAAGCGCCTGCGCATTTGCCTACGGAGCAGCACAAGGCAGTTGAAATGCCATGCGACGTCAGTCAAACATGTCAAAGCAGGCGCTGCTGCTGCTCGTATCGGAAGAGCACGATATGAACCGAAGCGTTACTTGCGCCGGCGCGCGGCATGGCACTTATAACCTTACATTTTGTATAAGTGTGTGAGCAAATTTCGATGATTCAAAATTCAAAAGTTGAAATACAAAAACCGCGACGAGGAACTAGAGTGAAAGTAGAAAAAATAGCGTAAGCACTACGTGGCTAAACGTTGTTAAAGCCCTCGTTTAGCCACTTGTTACTTAATATACTATTAATATTATTACGAGGATTTTTAGTGCTATGAATTTTTGATTTGTACGTATAACGAAATGAAATGCAAATTGCAGATTGTGAAAATGATTGTTGTTATTATTATGAACTGAACATGTAGCGATATTAATTAATCTCTTATGATGTATTAGTGCGTCGGTGTGGTAATAGTTGTAATGGGAACACGGGATCCAGCGCGGTCCGACGAAATTAACATCGTTAGCGTACGGCGATTCATAAGCGCTGCTCTATTGCGAATTTGCAATGAATAAACTAAATTTCGACTGTGGTGGATTGCGGTCGGACCAACGGAGTTTACCCCGGCTACAGTGTAGTTATGTAATCGCATGCCGGGCGCGTTGTTTTCCGATGTTATTTCGATGTCGTTTTAACGAGCCGCTGCTGCCGCTTTGTTTTTGGCTGAATAATTAACGAGCACACTGCGGCAGAACGCACTATTCGCGAAAATACCATCGTCTCGAATGCATAATTAACATTAGTGTTTATATACAGGGTGTGTTGATAAATTATGATTAAAATTGTGTTTTTTTGTTTGATTGCAGGTGTTGCATGGGGGGCAATGGGCGGTGGGGCTGGTGAGGAGGGGCTCCGCAGACGGATGCCGCTGAGACGGGCCGGAGGAGGCGGCGCGGTGACGTCGAACGCCACCAGCCTGGGGGGCCGCGCAATGCGCTACTACCGCCTTTGGATCTACACGTGCAATACGGCGCTGCTGGCGGGTGCGTTGGCGTTCGTCGGCGCTGCCGCGCGCACCCTTGTCTTTGATTATCGGCGTGCGCTTATCCCCACACTCACGCTCTACCAACCGAGCTTCCTCTACGCCTATCTAGCGCTGCTCACACAAGGCGGAGCTTTACAACTATTGGGCTGTGTGGCGGCAATCCGCCTATCGGAACGCCTCCTCAACGCCTACTGGATGCTCCTATTGGTGCTCCTCTTCGGGGACGTTGTTATCGGCGCCTTCTGGGCGTTTCGTTTCGAGCGTGTGTGTCAAGAGCTCCGCCCAGCGTTGCGAATGAAATGGAATCAAGACTATAATGTCAACGCTGATTTTACATCGTTATGGACCCGGTTAGAAGTAGAAACAGCGTGTTGTGGACCGACTGATTCTAGCGATTACAACCAAAGCAAAGGGTTGATCATCCCGCCGAGCTGTTGTAGAGCAATTGCGAACGACACGTGTCAAGTGCACTCGACGCCATGTGAGGCCAGTCTACAAAGCTATCTGCGAAGCACCGCCTCCCTACTCGCCATCCTGGGTTATTGTGTGCTGGCATTTCTTAAATTCGTGTTCCTGGGCATTTTGCGATACGAGATACGAGAGATGATCCAGAAAATACGGATATTAAGGGCGGAGCTTGAGTTGCCCGGGGTGAATGGGGCGGTGCCAGGTGGGATTGGACGCAGTGGGCTGGACCTGCTGGGCGGGGATGGCAGTGAACGGGAAAGCCTCCTTGTACGACCTGATAGCGGAGGTTTGCTGCTCAGTTCACCGCCAGTGGCAACGAAAAACCCCGCGGCACCGCCCAACCCAAATGGTAACAATAATTACGAGTTGAGGGAGTACAACAATAGAGGTAGTGAAGGTGGAGGTGGAGGCGGTGGAGTAGCAGGCGGAGGTGGAGGTGGTGGAGGTGAAGAAAGAAGAAGAGGAGGCGGTAATCTTCTGGGCGTGGTCTCATCAGGGCGTGACAACATCTGACTAAAGTATAAGCTAGAGGGCATCTTCTCGCGCGGCCGCTGGGGCCGAGTGAAGAAGGGCCCCCTGGCGACCCCGCTCGACGAGATCTTCAAGCGCAGCCGCCCCGCCCGATCACGCCCCAGCCGCGACGAGCAGCCATGCTGAGACTGCGCGTACGTCTAGTTCTACAATACGCTAGCCGATAGCATTTTGCTGAGAGAAAAATATGAAAAAAAACCAAAAACAAAAACATCAAAAATACATTACTAGATTTAAATGTACTTCCTTTAATTACAACAACAAAATAAAACCAACAAAAAAAATTAAGTGCGCGAAACTTAACCAGAATGAACTTGTTTGCGCTCGTGAACAAAATGGACGCTAGATAAACGCCTACTACTACGTTTGCCCCGCCTACTACGATTACGTCATTCTTGTTTTCTTATTAGGCATGAAAAGAAAACACAAAACACAAAAAAAATCGGCGAGCTACGGAAATGAATAGAATAATCCCAGTGCCGCATCAGAGTGAATAATTTAAAACAAATATATTACCACTAATAAAACTATAAATATATACATTAAGATATTTAAAATAGAAGAGAAAAATATATATATTATTGCGATATGATGAATGGAGACGTGAAACAAAGAAATCTATAAATAAATTATATATACAGTGTGTTTATATGAGCTTATTATATAAATGAGAAAAAATGATAGTGCCTCGCCAGTTGAAGATTTATTCATTAACTCAATCTAAAATACTGTTATTTAATTTACCTATGTTTAGGTTAAGTTGTAAAATTATGTAAGCATTTTTAAATTCCTAAACGTTTCCTTTCTAAAATTAAAATTTCATTTTTCTGCAAAACGTAGAGATGTAAGAACGAAAAGACTATATTCGTTTATAAGTAGCGATCGAAATATTTAGACAAAAAACAAAACATTCATCCTCCAATTACTATTAAACATTAATAAATGAACGCATGAGGTAATAAACTTAAAGAAAAACTCTAAAAACTACGAATGAAAGTAAATAATTCGCAAAAATTCGCATGCAAAATTTGTATTTGTTATATTTTGCGTTCAGATGGCGCCACCGTCGTAAACAATGGCGCCTCACGTGTCACCAGCATTTCTATGTGACGATGGCACTAATCTCTAAAATAATACCAAATGTGAACAATACCAGCCAAATGAAATGCGAGAGTTAAATCCCAAGATGACAGCAAATCGCTTTATGTCTCTGTTAGTTGCGGCCCGATTTACTATAACCCGGAAAGTTTAAAACGCGAACGCGTCACACACATGAACTAAAACTTTGAGCTTTTGTCCGATTCGACTGCGTGCAACGTGAAAGTTTTAGTTTACAATCCTCGAAATCGATGCGCGTGAAACGGCACAACGGGAAACGCGGTCGGTCGGAACGATTTAGAGTTCATTTTATGCCTTAAACAAGTTTCAAACTAAAAATATTGAGGTTATAAACACGTGCCGTAGGCAAAACTAAAATGTAGAGATTTGAAGGGTATGAGCCACTTTCAAAGTTGATTTATTGTTTAACAAGGCTCAAAAAATTAATATTTTGTGTACTATTAATGCATTAAAGATTTCATTCTCATTTTGAGTTTATAATCTCAAAAAATTAAAAAATAAAAGTGTGCCATCGGCGTATAACGAAATTATTCTGTATCACTGACGGTGAACATACCGTGGCGTCACGCATTGTCGCCCGCGTTTTCATCATCAATTAATTATCAATCGATTCGCTAATTAATCAATTCGATTCCGCGACATTCAATTAATTGCTTCACATATTACATAAATACATATTAAACATATTAGTACCTATCGAGGAGCACAATTGCGAAGAGACGACAGCACAGATAACAGATCGATCGCCTGCGATAAATGTGACCAATATATTTAACTATTAATTAATAAACAATACAACAAAGTATTCGTAGACGACAACACAAATGAGACATTGTGACGCAGCGGTTAATAAATCAAATGTTTAAAATGTTATTACAAAAAAATGCTAAAAAAGAAATGTTTAACTATGGATATAAGGATATGCGTTGAGGAAGAACTAAAAATTAACTACTAAAACCATAAATAAATGTAACATTTACTACGCTTCCCGACGATTATATTATATACTTAAGATCGAGGATACAAATTGAAGTTATTTGATTATTTCATTAGGTAAAATTTAATTCTGAAATAATAAAACATGTAGATATACTATTCGAGGTTTATAATTATTATTATACTTATAAATAAATAATAAAAATCCAAAAATAAGGGTACTCAAACGATGTGAATCGTCATCTATTTATAGCCGAGCGATGTGAAGCAAATTGCATGGAATATTTAATAAAATCAATAATTTAATAAATAACTAAGCAAGAAAAAAAATATGAAACCATAAACGAATCAAAGAAATGCAAATCTACGTATTATTTCGAGATTAGAATGTTGTATTTTCTCGCAGATAATAACAGATCAGCACAACCACCACCTTTTTTTCACTCACACACACTCACAAATTACAAGGCGCAAAGTGAAATACATGTACAATACAAAGCAGAATCTATAAAGTCTATAAATAACACACAACTTATTGAAATATTGAAACGATAGGGGTTGATTACATTCGAATTGATGGCGCGCTACCCTCGAGTGCATAACAATAATAATCTAATGCGATATATGTATAAATATATCTACAAAATGTTAACTTAAACCCAAATGAAAAAGAATGCGAGAGTGCAAGAATACAAGCTATTATCCAAATGTTATAAATAAATAAAGAATAAATAAACAAAAAGAAAATTATATGAATAAAATGCTGTATATATTATATTAATATTTAATAAAAGTGTATTGTTAGAAAAAATGAGACTAAATGAAGATATTTGTGTTGCATTATTTTTACATTTCAAAAATTGCAATCCAGAGTGTTTAGTTGTATATAGTGTGTGATATAGGGTGTGGTCATGTTTGAGTTGTGATAGCAATACTGAATATTACTGATTTTCCTTCCTGTCCATTCTCCAAAACTCCAAAAATGCTTTTTTGGTAAAAAGTAAAATCTATAATTTAAAAATGAAACGCGAAATCTGTTGGTAAGCGTATAACTCAACAACGCCTAAACCAATTTGGCCAATTCTTATTTTTTAAATGTTTGTTAAAGTCCAACGATGGTTTTTACGGCGAGAAAATTTCGAATACTTGCCGGGAAAACCCTATAAACAGCCCTTTTCTATATGATAAAAGTTGGTATTGAGATTCAATCAGAGTTATAGTTAAATAGTTGAATCCGAGATGGCGTGCTGAAGTGCATTATTAGCAATTCTTTATATAATTAATTTCTTTAAAATAAAATTGTGAATCTTATTGATAGAATTGACACATACTCTGTCTAGAACAAGAGAGTAAAAACGAATTACATTTTTATTAAACACTACCGAGACGAAGTCGCGGGCAAAAGCTATTCGAAAATATATTCAAAGTCAGATTTGTTGATAACACAATACAAATTTATAAGAACCACTATTCTCTTAGAATGCAACTTTCGAGATTTTTAAATTTTTTTTTGTTTTATTATCTTTGTGCATCGTTTAGCCGCACAACACTTTTGAAGCACTCTTATGTCGAGTATTAAGTCGAGCGTCGCGACGTCCAAGTTCTTTAAAACGCTGGCGCGAATAAAGAGAAACTTCTGCAGGTCCGCAGCACTTTCGCACCGCCGCCACGATGATTAATTGTGCCGTCGCTTTATGACGAGAGTGTGCATCAGCGCGATATCGCCATCAGCCACTCGTGAACTCAACCCTCTCGACGGTGTGTTGAGATTGTAACCCTGCACAGTGGCTGCAGTCCGCAGCGTCTGGCTAGATTGAGAGTTTTATTCGGCGTCATTTACAACCTTCTTAAATCCACCCCGAAAGCCGAAAATAATCCGAAAATATGTTTTTGACATTCTCACCGAGTGCAGACAACTAAATCATAAAGATATTAATGAGTCTGCAACTTTGACAAAATGTTGTGTTAAAGTATTTTTTTCTCTTCAAAATATCGATTCGGTGTGTTTATCAAAAGAAAATAGCACAGATATAAACATTTAAAAACAAAAACATTCTCTTTGGTAAAATTGAGCTCAGTGGCCATTAATCTTCATGAAGTCGGAGCGCGAATGGGTTTATCATGATTCGTCTGTAGATGAACGCTTTACGACGTCGTAATGCACTGAATTTGCTGCTATTGAGCTGGATTAGAGCAAATTCGGTTGAATTGCGCTGGCATTGGCAGAATTGCTGGCGTTTAATCCGAAATAAACGCGAATTATCGTGGCCATTCAAATACACAAAGGTGAAGAGCATTCGTAGTCGAGAATGACATCAAAGGAGGCGTGACTAGCATAACCCATCATATTTTATTCTCAATCGAAAATCCCTTTTGGACACTTAACCAAATACATATAAAAATGTTTTTCTACCTCCACCTATAAAGTGCCAGTTTTTCCACGGACACAAAAAGTGGTACTTTATATACCAACGGCCAAGCCGTACATAATATTCATTATGTACTTGTATTATGTACGGGACGGAGCAAGCGCCTGCGCATTTGCCTACGGAGCAGCACAAGGCGGTATGAAATGCCATGCGACGTCAGTCAAAAACGTCAAAGCAGGCGCTGCTGCTCCTATCGGAAGGGCACGATATGAACCGAAGCGTCACATGGGCCGGCGCGCGGCATGGCACTTATAACCCTACAGTTTGTATAAGTGTGCGAGCCGATGATTTAAAATACAAAAGTTGAAATAGAAAAACTGCAACGTGGAAGTAGAGTGAAAGTAGAAAAAATTGTGAAAGCACCTCGTGACTAAACGTTGTTAAAGCCCTCGTTTAGCCACTTGTTACTTAAGGGGGTATTCTACTCTAGAGGTTTCAAAAAATCGATTTTTTTCTTTTTTTGATATTTTGAAAGTTTAACTATTCAAGAATACGTGTACAAGAGGATTTTTCAAAATTTAAATTATTTTCCGAGATATAGCCGTTTTGGTGACGCGGCATCCATACTGGTTCGCATTGACGCGAAACTTTAAACGTGTTTTTCTCGAAACTGTATTTTTCGAGACGGTACCCACGATTTCTCAACTTCTACTGAACCGATTTACTTGAAATTTTTACAGAGTCTTCTTTATAGACTTTTCTTTAAAATGAACTACGCTTATCCCGAAATTCCGATTTTAAATATTCCAAAAAAAATCTAGAATATAAAAAAATAAGGGTAAACAAATCACTATTTTTTCAAACAGTCGCCATTTTGTGAAAAACTTTTTTTTTCACTTGTCCGTAGTTCATATGATTGCGACATTATTCTAGATTAATAATTAATTATTCTAGATTAATTCAGATCACTTGGAGGGCTAAAATCATGAGTACGGTCACGTGCCACTTTTTTGGGACCTCCCACTTCATCACCTGCTGGAATTTAAAATTTTGAACTTTTTTCAGTTTTTATTTTTTTGTATTCTCAAAACATTAATAAATAAGTGTTAAAAAAATGGATAGTAAAAATATTAATTGATTTTTTTTACGGCCTTTCAAAAATCACATGAAATTCATGCCTCTAGAGTAGATTACCCCCTTAATATGCAATTCATGTATGTACGAGCATTCATTCATATGAAACATTTTAAAATATTTTCAGTACTTACACCTAGTTGTCTTGACAACAAGAAACAAACAAAACCTCACTTGAAGATCGCTTGACTGCCTTAATAAATTTTTAATTTTCAAGCAAAATTTATTAGTTTTTGAGCGTTTAAAATGCCTGTAATTTGTGTAAAATAATGTTCTTTAGCACTTTGTCCTTGGCGCTTAGTCCTCACAGTCTTTATAGTCTTGCTTAATTAAATAATAATCCGATAAGCTGTGCCGCGCTGCGACGATGATCGATAAACTGTTATTACATCAAACTCGTTAGCTAAATTGTTAAACGCGCATCCGAAATTATTGCCTCCACAGCGTACATCCCCATCCTCGGCGCACGATAACATCCCCCGAATAATATCGGCGCGCTGGCTATCGAATCGATTCGAACGCAAACGCGGTAAATTTTAACGTAATTCATTTTTCATTCGGTGATATATATCTACCAGTATCAGATGCAAACCAACGAGCGGTATCACGATCGCGATAAAACAGCTCTTGAAATATACAGGGTGTTACCACAAGAAAAAAAACAATTAATTATTTTGTTAGTAGTAGAAAAGTTTTGCGTGTCATTTACCACCAAATAAATTGAAAAAATTAGGTTTTTTGTTCGTCCGGTTTAGCATTGTAACAATTTGGGGTGTGTTGTAAATGTATTCGGTAATTAATTTCGCACTCACCGTAATCTCATCGTCCAGCACGGTCACGCATCGATCCAGCACCGATCCACCGATGACAACCTGCAACAATATGTCACTAGTAGTAATGTACGATTCTAATTACATTTCTATTTAAAATCACTTCACAAAAAGTTTAAACTCTTAATATTCTTGAATATAAACTTGTGAAATAAGATATGATGACATTTTTATAGCTTTAATTATTTTCGTTCATAATTTCTCACATTTTGCAATCTCATTCATAACTTTCCATCAATTTATTTAAATTTCCAGCTTCATAAAATTCCAAGACATGCTCTCTAGCCTCTCGTCCGCGTCTACATTTTCAGTTCACTATGGATGCAAGTTGGAAGCGATGCGAGAGCTGGGAGCTTGATGAAAATTTATTGGACGGTGAGCGCACCTCTCCGCCATTTTCGACGCGTCTTCGTGATAATGTCTTCATAAATTTGCACGCTCTACAAAAATAGATCTCAACTTGTTTCTGCAACGTTTTTGGGTACATAACCGTACTTTTACACCGTTTTGTTTTGTTTTATTTGCGACTGCGAATTTCGCGACAGCCGTGTCGCATCTGTGCGACATGATAACGCATAAAACGGGCACATAATTAAGCTTGACTATATTATATCGTAAATGCCACGCTCGAACTCCGTCTCCAGCGCAGCAGGCACGTCTTCTTCTCGGCGTGTTGGTGTGCCTGGGTTCATAACATTCAGCCGGGTTTCGTACACTGCTTCGCACAAAATCGCGTCCCGTTTGCCAGCGTAATAACCCAGCTCGTACATCATCTCTCGGAAGGTCCTGCGCTAAAATATCCTCACACATCCAACGAGTCAAGCTCCCCAGTGTTTTAAGTCACTGCTGGACGCCAGATGCATAACTATAAACGTCCGACGCGAAAACTAAGGAAAATGCCGAAAACTGAAAACTCGGGTACGTTTTAGAGAAGGTTTTCTATGGAAACGCATAAATTTCGCTTTTATAAATTATGCGATTCGGACTCTATAAAATGTAAAACGGCCGGGAGCGAAGACGATGGAGGAGCAAAAACGCAATGAAGTCCTGACCTACGGCGGGATCTTTGCCTGCTCCTAGTGGAGCTGGGGGTGTATTACGCTAATGTTGTGAAACCACCGCCTGTTCCATAGCATATTCAGCCGCAGCGGGTGGCGGCGAGACGGCTGCGACGTCTTTCACGTCCTAATCGATTTCCTCGTTTTGCACATCACCCACACTCTCCAGCCTCCTTAACATTCGTCATTCGTCATCCTCAATCTCAAATTGGGTACAATTCATTTCAACGGTGAATTTATGCGGTTATAATTTAAATTCGTTTACATTTAAATATTTGAAGGACTGTAAGGTCATGATAATTACTTTTTGATTTTATGGCAGGTTGTCCTTGATCCTTCAATCATTTTATCTTCTGGCGAGAAGAAATGCCCGTTTCGGAGCATTTTGGAACGCTGCCATTTGATATATCCGTTATTTTGCTCGGGCGCTCGTGCAGTCGGGCAATTCGTAACCGGAGACGATCCCGCCAAGCAGAATCGGTGATTAATCATCGCATGGACATGTTGCTTATCGTCTTTTGTTGCTTCTCATTCGAAAAATCACAAAAATCACGAAAATTCAACAAAATTCCGTAGAAATCGTAACAATAGCCCGGATGTAGAGAAAATCAACACCAAATCATACAATCATATCAATTATTGCTGAGTGTATAAACATTTACACTAAAAAATAATTATTTATAGTAAATACATGAAATACCGAAGAGAAAGGCAGCCAACATTACACATGAGCAAAAAATTTAAGAATTATCCTCATAAACAACTGAGAATAATTGTCCCCAGTTATTATAATTCATATAGTACTTTAAACAAAATAATATTATTTATTAATTGTGAATACTCAAACAACACATGAGCTTTTCCGGTAATAATGTAAACAAATATAAAAAATATCTTAATATTGTCATGCAACCATGTTACATAATGGGAATACTCACAATTGGTGAGCGACATTCCTGTGCTTTAGTCTGATCATCATACGCTCCTGTAGAACCATTTCCATTGTCCTGTTCAAGACACCACAGCTCCATTGCAATACATCCTGCAACATGCGCATTCTTCTGCACTAAACTCATATCTAAAGTTAACTTAAGGATATTCCTACTTATTTTATATTTTAGTTAGCTTTCTTGTGTAGTCTCTTAGGTTGTTAATTAAAGGATACTTGTTTGAAGCGATTTGCCCTCAGTTGCCTTCGCGACGTGACTCAAGAGAAACGGCGTTATTTCCTTGCCATGAACCCCGCGTTTTTCAGCGAGCGCAAGTGCCTCGTTGACGACGTGCTCCATCACCTCGGCGTCCATCGCGAATTCTTCTGGGACGGGCACAGCGAACAGCATGCCCGATTGGAGTCCCAGGTCGCCGTTTGCCTTGATGACCACGGCTGCTTCCCGGGCGCAGGAAACGTGATAAGGCGACTTGTGGCCCGATTCTCGTGTGTAGAACGCTGGGAAATTGTTGGTCTCGCCAAAAGTTGCAACGTATACGCCTTGAGTTTCCTTTTAATTATATGAAAAGAATATTGTTATTAAAACTGACAATATAATATTTTCATATCCATAAAACTCAAATTCAAGACCACATGGCATCCTGATTAATGGTTTATGATTATTTTAATGGTCCTTACCAAATACTCCAGTGTCCTAGGAATGTCTAATATAGATTTCACCCCACTTGAAACCACTGCGATAGGGGTACGTCCCATTTCTTGTAAATCCGCCGAAATGTCAAGGGTGTTCTCGCCGTTACGATGCACTCCGCCAATTCCACCCGTGGCAAATACCCGGATACCGGCCATTTGGGCCGCCACCAAAGTGCCAGAGACTGTTGTTCCGCCATTTAATTTATTTCCAACCACATGGGCAAAATCCCTCCGCGATGTTTTAATCACGTCTGATTTTAATTTACCAATGTGCTCCAATTCGTTGTTGTTCAATCCGATAGTGATTCGGCCATTCAAAATTGCTATAGTTGCTGGTGTAGCACCCTGTATATGCAAATTTGAATTTTATTTTTGTGTAAATGTATATTTGTCGTAGGCAACCCAATATACACTCAAAGTATTTTAGGTTTTCAATTATCGGCAGCAACTACCAATTTAACGAATTAAAGCCATGTATGTAAATGAATGTTTTAGAGTTTAGCATCAATTTTGATTTATGTTGGTGAGTTTTTACCGAAATATTTTACTTACTGCTTGTAAAACTTTGCGTTCACACTCGACAGCGCATTCGACGTTATGCGGAAACGGCATGCCATGCGTGATAATCGTGGATTCCAAGGCCACAACAGGAAGGTTGTGCTCCAAGGCATGTCGCACCGACTCGCCGAATACGATGCGTGAATCGTTTCGGTAGCGGCTGGAGAACGCGCGCCCGATTTTGCTCCCGTGGCGCACGACGCGCAACATGCTGCACTCAAAATAATTAAACTTTGCGGGAGTGCGCCTAGGCTAAACGATGAAAAAACAAGCACAAACAGGCAGAGGATGTAAAACTTCATACGGTGCACTAGCTACGCGACGAATGAGTGTTTCGAGTGGGCATCGGTTCTAGGTTGATTAGATTATGAAATTGAGACTTTTATGAACATAAACAATGAGAAATAATGATCATCATTGCATTTCATTACATCAGTGCAGGAAAGTAGGGTATAATATGGTGATTATGAGTTTTTATTATCAAAAACTTATGAATTAGGGTTTTCACAAGATATTTTTAACCTTTTTGTAAATGTAAATTTTGAATTGGTGACAAAACGACCATGTCATAGAGTTCCACGTATAATTTGAGTTGCCTATGTTAGACATTCCTAACCGTGAATACTTTTCCAACACAACATCTTAAAATCAGCACTGAAATGGTAACATTATAGTTTCTGCTGAGCAGTGGGAATATTAAATCTTTTGTGAACAACAATTATTCTATAAACTTATATATATTTTAGTGCTTCCACCAGAAGTAAACCTATAGAATCTGTTTGACTTATCACTGGCTTAACAACAATGTTTTCAAAAACAAATAACAAACTGCCCAAAGCAGTTGAGTTTTCCTTAAAACCAGAAGATTTTATGGATGATATTGAGTCAATTGCAAATTGTGAAGAAAACAGGAAGATGCTCTATCAGTGTATTGATAGTAAAATTCCTCCAGTTGACTCAAAGCTGCTTAAAGTTGAGGATTTCTTGAAAGATAAAGAAGTGCTTCAACATGTTTCAGAAGAGTTGCACATAAAGCATAATGAGTTAAAGCAGCTTAAGGAGGATTTGCTGAAGCACCTGCAGGAAATTTCAAATTTACTAGATGATAAAATGAATACTAGTTAATTTTGAAGTTTTATTTATTGTGAACAGTTTTAAACATGCAGAATAGTTTGTAAATTGCAGCAATTGAGCACACATATTAAGTTTATACCAAAATTATTAAAATAATTAGGTAAAATCATAAGTTAATAGTTTGCGAGTCCAGCATTCTGCCGAAATTCTGTAATAACCTCATATATTTCATGTTACCTAATTTAATGAAAACTAAAAGTTTGGGATTTCTTATTGGTTGTGTATTGTGATACAATTTTTAAATGTTTGGACATATTTTACCTAATTGCTATCAACTGTAATAAGAGTTGATGTAATTAATAAGTTAATAAAGTGATTTATTAGGACTCTTGTTTAAAGAACTATTTGATTTTCAATAACATTGCAATCAGTTGATCTGAAATGCCAAGGATAGTTGGTTAGTGAGAAACATTTAATATGCTCTGGGAACTCAGGTGAGAACTAGTATTAATGCAATCTCACTGATCTATCAGCAAAAGTTTTATCACATATAGGTACACTCTATGAATGTATATCAAAACGGACCAAATGCAACCTCATCCCAAATTTGCACAGATGTAAAACAATGCCAGGAATTCATTAAGTCAATTTTTGTGGTATTTTAATTTGTTTTTAACTAACTATATACTATCAATAAGGCTAGAACGAAACATAATATGCATTTTAATAAGATCAGTTATATCCATAGTGTATTTAAATTCTGCAAATATATATTTAAATATGTAGTTACTAAGAATAAGTTGTGAATTGGTTTTTATTTATATATAATAATTTGAAATTAATTGCATTTGGAATTATGGGACTGGGTATTCCGAAGCTGGCCGCACGTTTCGATCGTTCATATACACACAAAATCCGCATGGCATTGCTAAAAAAGTCAAGTCAATTTTAATTGTTGAAATCTTATTTCATGTTAATACTGTCACCTTGTGCGTGTAAAAGTTAGTAAAACCCCCGAAATTGCTGTAAAAAGATGGCAAAGAATGAAAAATGCAAGAATGTTTAATATTTCTATCAATATATTACAAAATATTTCTTTATTTGATAATATCTTCTGTACAAAGGCAACTCGTGGACGGAATCGAATTAAACTCTCTGTCTCTCTCAAGTTAAACTTACAATAAAATAATTCTCGTTTAACAGTAATAACAGTTAATCTATCAAAACTAACTCTGTTATGTACATATAATTAATATAAATCTTCTAAAGAAGAGACTAATTGCTTAAAATTTAAACTGCTGAGCATTCTAATTGCAATAATCTTTGTTAATGAGAGTGTTAGTCACAAATAATAGTGAATTACAACGTGATTACAACAAAGCATTAAAGTTGATGCAAAATTCAAAATAGTTAACAAGAAACAAGAGTTATTAACATGTAGATAATAAAATGGCCGCTGGATGTCTTCATAATCATTTGTAGATTGAGTTTCCATCATCCAAAAATTAATTACCGTCTGTTTCATTAAAAAGAGAAAATATTAGTAAAAATGTGAGTTAAAATGAGTTATAAGCAAAAGCAAAAGTTATTTGATAGCAAAATCAAAAAGTCAGTTATAAAGCATTGTGGTGTTGTCTTGTATGTTGTTCGTATGTGTTATTGTTTATGCATTGCGCAGGATCCAGATAAATGAAACAAAGTGTAATTTTATGGCAAGATATCTTGCCTCGGTCGTCCAGCGCCACAATTATCTTATGACGCATTAAATGTTTGTTCACGTTCGCCAAACAACGCTCCAAATTGCGTTGTAGTTTGAATTTGACATACATCGATAAGAAAATGGCGGTCGCGTTAATAATGAGCCAAAAAATCCCAACTCCAAAGAGAACTAATCCGGTTAGGCCGCTAAAAAGTAGCGAAAGCAATAAAATAAATGCTAGGGTGATCCACACAACTAGCACACGCTTGTAGCAGACATTATACAGGGTGAAACGGTAATCATTTACGAGAAGTTCCATTATTTGTACGTATTCCTCTACGGTTAGCTGAAAAACATCAAAAATCATTGAAATTTTATGTTTTTTTAAAGATTTTTCTAGAAATTAATTCAAATTTAATATTTTTAGATCTTACCGTCAGTCCTTGCGCCATTAACTCTTCAGGGACCAACTCGGGACGAAATTTTGCTGGAGTAATCCATGGCAAACCAGAATTTACTGGTAAAAGCGTCACTATAATATCGCCATTTGCTAAAAACACAAAAATAACCTCAATTCTGCACTCTTTCCTACATAACCTTAAAAATACTCACCAAAACCTTGTCTGATTGTCTCTGGTGGGTTTGTGATAGGCAACTCAATATTCCTTAAATTTTTAGGATCAACCACCACCGAATTGGCGTTGATTGTAGGTGCGGGCGTTAAATTTTCACTGAAACTCCTCTCCAGATTGACTTGCACACTTTCTGTGGCAATAACGGCAGCGGAATTACGATCTCCCGGAGTCTTACCAGTATTTTCATCATCAAAATGCACCCAGGCTTTACTCGGCGAGGGTTGAACAGTTGGTGCAACCGTATTACCTCCACCAGCGGCCGCGTTAAGTTTCAAAGGTCTTTCGGGACGATCCGGGACCGAGATGACTGGGGTTGGTGGGTTGGGCATTGCTGTCACGTGCACGCTTTCGGTTTTCACTGGAAGTTTGACCTCCACATCGGAGACAACTTCCAGAGGGTGCGTAGGATGTGTAGATTCAGTATGTTCAATGGATGTATTATTATGCGCTGATGGTGCAACAATGGCACCACCATTCAGATTCGGTTCGGACATTTTATTGACGCGTTATTGTTTTGTTCAACGGTTTAAACTACACCATTTTGTTTGTGATGGCACTTGTTTCACTTGCTACTTGTTACTGGCTGTCACAGTTATTGTCTACGCCTGTGTTCGTGTGTGTGCTCCGTGCTCCGACGCACAGGTGAGGTGGCATTCTGTTGGGTTTACCTGTGTGCGCATTGTGCACACCTGAGTCACACGGGCATTTAATTGGTGGGGTTTGTGTGAATCGAACAGGTGGGCACAAGATGGCGCCGCTTGAAAATAAACAAACCGTACAAATGCGCAGCGAAGGCTAAAAATAATCAATAATAACATTGTTTAACGATTATTACCAAATCAAATCTTATCAGTTTGATTGTTATGCGCGTAATTAGTGGCATACCAGTTATATCAGTGCAATGTGTATTAATATAACATAACTTGTTTTGATACAATTTTTTATTACACAAGTTTTTTTCTTGTGATGTGTAATTTAGGCGTAAAGGTGCGATAACTAAACGTTTGACGTCATGCGCAACCAAACATACACAAATATTGACATTCGTAACATGCGTGTTTTACAAATTTATTTATTGTTTAGTCGTTACGTTTAAAAGTTTAACTACTGAAACATTTACAGCATGCGCAACTTTTATTCTTTACTTGTTTTGTTGATGTTATTGATTTCGCGCAGCATTACACACTTAATTAACTGCTGACGTTTTAGAAAATTGACCAAGTATTTCGAACCAATTATCGTTGATGTAATGCGGATTGGAGCAGATAGTTTCAGTAGAATTAAAGTTATTGCGATTTCTTCCAATGTTTTCTTGGATACTTTTGGTATGTATTTTAGCTGGGCTTTTTGGACGTCTTCAGATTGGTGCATATCTATGTTGAGCCATTTTAATGCATTCAGCGTTCTGGAAATAATAAAAAAGATAAAATTGTGTCGCTATAAAATTTAATATTGTCCACAAATAAGAATTTTTGAGTTAAATGAGTGTACAAAACATGTTTTTAAAACAATATTAATACATACTTTCTTGATGTAAGATAAAATAAGCTCACATAAGCAACAGTGAGCACGCCATGCAGTGGAATCACAATAAACCAATAATTTTTCGCAAATTGCTTTAAATCTCTGATATGTCGTAATATTTTCATTCGTCTGCTGTTGAATTGCTGCCCATAGGTCATATTTAAGTTATTTGTTCGTAAATATTTGACGTATGGATTCTCTGTTTTTCGATTTTGAATCGACTTGGGAATGCTGGTAACTTGTCGACCAAAAGCACTCAGAAAATCCCAGAGAATCATTGGTTTTAAGTATTTACGTCACTAGAAGGTACATTTTTTCGCAAACAGTACATAGGCATGTTGCAATGATCAAAACTACGCAAATTGATAAAAACATTTAATTTAGATTTCACTTCGAATTTATAATTTATACCAAAATTGAATGACAAAAGAAAAAGAAATTAATCAAACTGACGTTTTGTCTCATTCAAAATTAAACCGCAAGTCATCCAAAACGGCAAATCACCAACGTCTTTTTATTCTACCTGCTTTTAATACATTTTTATGATTGCGAAAATAATTAACAGTGACAAACTTATTCAATTTTATTCAATAAAATAAATATTATACAATCGAGAAGAGAAAGTATTCGTATGTTAGGCAACCAAATATTCAGCTGAGAACGTAAACATACTCACGCCTCACCGACGGGCGACGACAACACCAGCGTGAATTATAAATACACAAATCGCGAGTGCAGCGCAGATTGGCAGAAGGACAGCGCAAAAGCTCTATAAATATTTGTTGATATCTCGCTGCAACAACAATCTGGATGGTTTTAATTAGAACGCGCATTGACTAAGCGACCAGCATTCGAGATGCAATGCAGAAGCATCTAACCTCGACTCGCCCAGCGAATTACGTTTTAATTTTTGTTCAGTAAACAAGCCGGTTACGGAACCAGAGTGAGTGATAAATTTTGATTTAACGAAAGGCCAAAATGGCCACGTTTCTAGCACGCACCGCTGTGAGGAGTGCGCTGCGAAATGCACAGATTGCGACGCCCGTGCAAATATCAGCGGTGATTATTCGAAGAGATTTCACTTTTTCAACTCCAATAATAAATTCACCAATTGAGTCAAGGTTGAAACTGGTACCGCTGATACCTACACAGCGTAAAATACCTTCTCAATATATAAGATTTTTGAGTTTTGATGGCTCAAAAAGTGGAGGAAAATCTGCTGTGAATGATGAGAAAAGTCAGGGCAATGTTGAGGTTGCCAAATTGACACTCTTTCAGCGATTCAAGCAGATGTATCGAGACTACTGGTATGTTTTGGTTCCTGTGCATTTGATTACATCAGCAGGATGGTTTGGGACGTTTTACTACATGGCTAAAAGGTAAAGAATCAAATTGGGCATAGAAAACAATTTTAAAACATTCATTTTTATGTCTTCTGCTTATCTTATTAAAATTTGGCATTATCTGATAACATTTTATTAATAGGAACTGATATTTATCAAGTTGGTGATAAAGATTAAGAATTCCGTTATTTTTCTTTTAAATTTTGTTACTAAAATATTTCTAGAGTTGATTCTAATTCCAATATTTGTTTAAAGTATAATTTTATTCATTGGAAGGATATTAGACTAAGAGCCCGTGACGGCCAGACTTTCGTTATTTTAGGAAAGATGAAATTTTGTCCATGTGTTTCTCCAACACAGGTAAGAACGATCCCCAATTATGAAACCTGGATCGTGGTTCCTTTGGCAGTTAACAGCCAACAAAGATGTACACATGATGACCTATGTTTCGTTATTTTAGCAAATTCCATTTTTGCATATTTTGTTCGTAACATTATAATAACATGCGCTGCTCATTGCCAGTCACCTGGTATCGTTCCAACCCTAGCCAGACACCCCTAAAGTATATTATTTTTTTAACTTTTTTACTTTCGTTATATTAGGAAAGCTGAATTTGATACACATTATACAGAGAGCCATGAAACTGTGTTTTCTTTCGCGCCAGACAGTTTGGTCGGTTCTATCATCCTGCCAGACGCATTGAAAGTGTATAAAAGTTGCAAAAGTTAAATTGTTTAAATATGAAAATTTCAGAGAATAGTTATTTTATTTGAACAAATATTTAATAATAATCATCACTGTCGTCGATATCTTTGCGATTCGTTCTTTTCTATCTCCTTTAGTTTACGAGATATTAGCAATTGAAATAAAACGTCAAAAATTGAAAAATTGCACTTTTGAGCACTTTCAGTCGCGGTATCGAGAACAATGATAAAAATTAATAAAGATGTACGACCAAATTACTGAAATCTTTGCCCAAGAGAAGGCAAAAAAAGTAAATTTGTAATTTGTATTTAAATTTGTACTATCTTTTATTTTATTGTGGTATTATTTTTGTTTACATAACCGTTTTTGAAAATTTTCGGATTTAGGGGCCCCAAACCTGTTTTGCGCCTAGGGCCTCACTGAAGCATAATCCGCCACTGGTTATAGTTGTAGTTGTAAACTAAAAGTAGTGTAGTGAACTGCAAAACTGAACACTGAAATGTAGATACAGATGCAGATTTGTCCTGGAACGGCCTATAAGTAAACTTTATTTTTACAATTTTCACGTCTTTCAAAATATCTTTATATAAAATTTGAAATGGATATCGCTAAACGATACTTGATAAAACTACCTACTACAAATCAGGCATATCCATTTTCGATTTTACATAAATTGAGCCATCTCATTATAAAATAAATATAGTTACTGTTTTAAACTGAAACCGGTTCAACTTTATTCAACGTTGTTAAAATAAAATTTCTATTTTCTGAAAATTTCATGTTTAAACAATTTAACTTTTGCAACTTTTATACACTTTCAATGCGTCTGGCAGGATGATAGAATTGGTCGCTTCTTTGAGGTCATCATTTGTTCATCTTTGTTGGCTGTTAACTGCCAAAGGAACCACGATCCAGGTTTCACAATTGGGGATCGTTCTTACCTGTGTTGGAGAAACACATGGACAAAATTTCATCTTTCCCAAAATGACGAAAGTCTGGCCGTCACTGGCTCTTGCTCTATATGTTAAAGCCGTAGATCAAAATTGATATAATAATAACGAATATAATCGAAATTATAGCAACAAAATGGCGTCCCTATTTGTTATTGTATGATTTGGTCAATATTTTAACCATAAATGGCATTCTACTTGATTATTATGTCACAATTCATAAACAATGTTCAAGTAAACATGACAAAAGTAAAATTTTCTTTCCAGTGGAATTGATGTAGTTGCCATCATGGAAAGTTACAACATAAGCGCAAAGCTCATCAGTCCTCTGAAAGACTCGAGTCTAGGTTATGTCGCCATCGCATATGCTATGTATAAGATAGCCACGCCTATCCGTTACACAGTCACACTCGGAGGGACGACAATTTCGATCAGTTACCTACAAAAGTTCGGCTATATCAAACCAGTACCCACACGCGAACAACTCAAGGAAATGTACAATACCAAACGCGAGTATATGATCGATACTGTGAAGGACAAACGCGAAGAGCTGCGTCTTAAGAAAGAACAGCTCAAAGATCGCACCGACAACCTCATCGACGACATGGAACGTAAAATTGTGACGAAGATTAACGACACAAAGAAGAAGACGACTAATACCATCCCCAAGCCGTAGATGAAATATAACAAGTATATTTCGTCAGTTTGCCGACGCCATTTTGGAAATGGTAATGTAGGTTATTTTTTGTTGGATGGCGTTTGCGGCGGTGTGTATTCATGCAGGTAACATGGTGGTACACTGTACATTGTTGTTTTTTTTTTTGTTAAAAATGAAATTTAGAGTATTTTATATCGACTATAATAATGTAATATGCTTAAATTCTAATTAAAATCGAAGTAATTACAAAAACAAGTACTAAATGTACTGATACACGTAGCTACACATTGAATCAATGGCAATTTGTTACAATTTTTGTTGTTTCGATTGTTCAAAGATGGCAGTTGTTACAGGCACGTTGTGCGATTGCTGAGTTATTTATCTTCGTAAAATTTCTAACGTGTTAATCTCACAAAAGTAAACTTAAAATAACGGATATATCACAGATGAAAACAATTTTGAGTGTTACGGAATGACATCGTTAATACATAATGGCTGCCTTTTGTGTGAACAGAATATCGAAGCATATAACTGCTGGTTGCCTACGGATGCGAAAGCGAGGTAATTTTCTAGCCGCTGTACTGATAACTAGCTGCGACCGGTTGCATTTGTCCCATTTGTCGCGGAGTATGCTGAAGTCGGGTAATATGACAGCCGCGGCATAACAATTGACTGTCGAGCGGATAACAACGCTTGTCGGGTTCGTCCGTGAGTTGCATTCCGCACATTTCACATACGTAGCAGTCGACGTGGAAGTCTTTATCCATTGAAACAACACGTACGGTTTCCTCTGTACCTTCCACTGGGGTGATACCTATTTTTAGAAACAAATTTATTAATACATGTTTTTTCGTTTTATTTCTTTTCAAGTTTGCGGTTGTTTACCTTTTCCACAGGCGGCGCACTTTGGTGCGAACATCCGATGATAATCATTAACACAGTAGATTTTATTATCGACATCAACCGTGAACGGTACACCATCAAGACATTCGTTGCAGATGCAACAACGGAAACATCCCGGATGATAAGACTTTCCCATCGCTTGTAGGATCTTTAAAATTGAACAAAATCAAGTAAAAACAATTTAGGATTTATTCTATAAGAGATCTTACCATTTCCATGATTAAATGACCACAAATTGCACATTTTTCAGCCGTTTGCTGGAATCCAGAGTACTGAAAACATAAAATTATCTTACAAACATGTATATTACTCTTAAAAGTAACGATTATTTAAAAAAAAAATCATCATATAACTTGCGTTTTTTAAGCAATTAATAAAATAATCAAATATTTTAGTCATGTGCAAGTTATATAACGACAATTGAAGCTTTTGCAAGTCAAAAACGCAAACGAAACAAAAATATAAGAAAAAGAAACGTACCTGCTCTTCGCTTGTTTCTGGATTGCTTTCTTCAAACAATTCCTACGAGAACACATCGAGAACAAATAACAAAACAGAAAAAAATGAATAAAAATAAAATTTCAACAAAAATACATAAAAAAAACGTGCGGTTTTACAAAAGCTTCAAATTTAACGGACTGTGCTGAACTTTTTAACACATTTAAACAGATTAATACTTACCAAGTAGTCTTCTTCGCAGTAGACACGTCCATGTACGTTGTAAAAGGCTTTACCACGCAGGGCGCGTCCACAAGAACAACAGATGAAACAATTTGTATGGTAGAGGTTTCCCATTGCTTGACAAGCCTGCCCAGCACCGGTTACCTTCTCCTGGCATGTGTGACATATGCCTAAGAGAATATTATATGTTTAGATCCAGTTTAATTTTTAAATCACGCAAACATACCAAAATATTCACCCTCCTCTTCATGCTTCTCCATCTCCTCCTCAATCTGCCTGGTCATCTCTTCAATTTTCCTCTCGGCTTCAGTGGGACCCCTGGGTTTAGTCGGTGTCACCATATACGGCAGTAATGATTTTCCGCTCATTTTAAGCTTAAATTGCGGTTTGGGTGCTGGCATCGCCTCAACTTTAACCTCTTTCTGTTCCTTTACCTGTGCTTGAGGTGGCTCTACAGGAGGTTGAGGTTTGGGTGGTCGTGTCGGTGCACCAGCAATACCCGTATCCGGTCCGCGATAGTAATTCTTCGCTGTTGACGTTTGAAATTGCATATTGGTACTCAATGTCTGTGAAATATTCCCGGTCATGCAAACATAATCAGACGAGTTGATTTCATCCAGTGATGATTTATATGAACTCTTGGACGGACTCCGATTGTGAAAGTAGCCGGCGGGTGATTGTGGTCCGGCGAGGCCCGAAGTTTGCGAAGCTGGACGTGGGGGTTGCATAACTGAGTAGACTGGCTGTGCGATTTGCGGTGGTTGCATCTGGGTGTACGTTGGCTGCATGCCGGGCATGTTGTTAGCTTGTGCGGGCATACTCTGCACCGGCTGGTAGATTGAGTTTGAGTATGGCGGTGGACCTTGGGCGGCCATTGGATATTCATTTAGATTTTCATAGACGTTGTGTGTATGTTGAGGGTGATGCCCGCTGTCAAAACGCTGTTTTACACCGCTAGGCACTTGGGGTTGTGCTTTGTTTAAATATTTATGATCTCCTATAAATATAAAAATAGCACAGTTTGAATGAATCATATAATGAACTAATTCATAATTCATGCTTTTAATTTAATGTTTTACATTAACTCACCAAAGTTATTGTGAGTATTGTGCCCATAATATTCAACATTCTCATAGACTGGCCCACTACCTCCACTGTTAATTGAGCTGTGGCTCTTTGTGGGACTGGATGGTACCTGTGGCTTAGCACACTGCACATAGACATCATTCTCCTCCACCTTGGCTGGCTCCAACTTAGATGAAGCATATTTGCTGCTTTGGATGATGTTGGCTCGCTCGTACAGTTTATAATCGGCGTTCTCGTATGTGCCCTGTTCTAAATTCCGACTGTACGAACCCGCTGCGGGGACTTGCGCTTGGGGGCCGGCTTGAGCTTGGGCGCGATTCAGCGACATGAATTTTAGCTTCTCGATGTAATCGCCAGCGCCTTGCTGCTCCATGATTGCAGAGGTCGGAAACTTAAACTATGCACTCACGAATTGAGTAATATTATAACGTATGCATTGTGATATTGATAAGGGCCGATTGTGATTAGATGAGATGAAGATGATTTAATGAGAAGTCTACTCCCCAAGTCACAATCAAGCCATCAACAGCCCTGAAACAGAAACATTGAACATGGGTGGGAAACTGCGCAGCGTTGCCAAGTATTTGAAGCAAAATTAAGGTTTTTTTTTATGATTTTAAACGTCAAATAGCAGTAAAAACTAATAAAATAAATATAAACTACATTTAATTATTAATTATCTAATTATAGAATTGAAAATTGACGTAATAACATTTATTTAATACAAAATTTTTAAAATTTTGAACAACTGCCATGTCTTTCTGATTGCGCATGCGCAGTAATCAGACAACTACCTGTCGCTGTTTACTGTCAACACATAACAACCTGCTCAGTCGCGCAGCGCGCATTGCGCACCAAACGCGTCGCGATTGTTTATTTACTTGCTAAAATCACAAATGCGATCGACGCTCGACGTTAATTTGCGCAAACGCCAGGTTTTATTCAAGAATTGCATTTGTGATAATAACCATAGCGATTTAAAGTGCAGTAGCGATTCTCGCGGGTCGCGGCTGACGTCATCCAGTGAAAGCAGACGAAGCAGACACTTCTTTTCGGCGCTGACTGCTGGCAGTCCAACTCCGACTTAAGTCACACAGCATATTTCGCCAGAGTTTCGACCTCAACATACAGGAATTTGCGGTTTAATACACACGTTAATTCTCTAACGAGTGTGCAAAATGTAATCAAGTTAAATTTACTCACAAAAAGGACTCGAGTGAGATTTAAGTAAGTTGTGAGAGTTGGAAAGTGTCGTCACTGATCACCCGGATGTGAATGGACCATTCGTAGCGGCGCCAGAGCACGGATCAAAATGTCCCGGTGGAAAAAATGAACGATGTTGATAGTCTGGTCAGTATTGTTTTAGTTCTATACATTTCGTTTAGTTTTAGAGTGATTTAAATGCTGAAATTAAACGTGACTCGCGCGAGAAATGCCAAGCATGCCAAGAATTCCGTTGACATTTAAGTAGGTTAGTAACACGTCTTCACGCGACAAGCGCAATAGCGCAATATTTTATCGACGATCAACTGTCGATTGTTTTCCAAACAAATTTAACCTCAGTTCAAGTTTAAGCAATTTGTATTGGTATCAATCGTGATTTTTCATTGATAACTCGAAAACAAATTGCGCTACGGTAATCATTTTCACTATTATCAATTAAGTATTAAATTTTTCTCCAATGTTGTTTATTTCAAGTAGATCTTATCTTTTAAACTCAACTTATAGACTGATAAAATCAAAATTATCAAATTATACAATTAATTACATTTAGGTCAATAACTCATGTTTGATTACAGTTATCAGAACCATCTTTATGTAATCTGATAAAAAATTAATTCTGAATCAATTTATGAAGAAATCAGTGTTCTACTTTGATTAGTTTCTGAGTTATCGATAAATAAATGAACAAAATCATGTTTGGACCGTTATGCTTCACATTTAGCACGTAAGGTAAAATAAAATAAAAAATAAAAAAATGCAAGAAAATGTTGCGTGAAGAGAGAAATAAAAGCGTGGGATTTTCGCGTTGGAATTGCAAACAATTGATGCGCTCATGATGGTTCATTACTCTATTGTTTCGTTGATAAATTTGTTTCTTCGTTTCTTGTGTTTCGCCCGAGTTTTCGGGCCGTGCTGCTATTTATATTTAACTGCACTTTCACACACATACACACAGTATGAACACGGGTTTGTTCTCAGGCGTGAATCGAATAATAAATATAAAACGCGAATAACAAAAATAGGTATAACAAAATGATGTATATTTGGTTGCCTACCATAGGAACACAAATCAAGCGTGAAGTGCGTTTGAAACATGTAGAGAATTTACTATCTGAATAAATGTGTGTTGGATGGTGACCGTGACTGAGTAAAACACTAATTTATTTAAATTTTCCTGCATAGTTATTCACATTTGACCATGACCATTTTTGCACGCGGATTTATGTGTTATTTTGCTACGTCATTTGTTATGATGCAGTCATCACGTGACTTTGGCGTCATAACAAGCGCGTTGTTGTTTTTTTTTTCTACGCCGCTTACGCTATTGTTCGGAAGCATGACAATTGACAATTAAAACCGATCGAAATTGCGTCCGTGCTTATCCAATTGACGTAGTTTAATCAGTTTAATTCAGTTGACCGACAATAGCCAACGAAAAACCATTCATCGATATAATGCATTGAACAATTCGTTTGTTTTGAGCCTTGCCTTGCAAAACGCAATTTCTAGTCCATGACGTCACTGGTGGTTAGTTATAATCATAAAGCACGTGAATGTGGTAATATTTAATTGTAAATTGCATGTGATTCTGGTTGATTGGTGTGTAAGTTATTAAATTTACTGCATATTTTATTGAATTATGAAGTTTTACGATGCATGCGTATGCAAAACATTGTGTAGGACGGTATTTACTAGTACTGACGTAGCATTAAATTTTTCATGCCACTGTTATCATGTTTTATCAGCGGGTGCAGCGTCACCTACGTCAGGAAATTCCAATTTTCACTGTTTAATAATATTTTTGTGGAACTGGTTAACATAAATATTTTTTGATTCGTTTATATGTCAAAAACGATAAAAAGTAGGATGATTATTTGTAGTTATTATAAAAAGGAAAGCAATTGAGTTTTTTTATGATAGATGTCGCCACTGTTGAATAAATAGCCTGGAGGTTATGGAGGTTGAAGTTTTTTTTGTAATTTTTATTTTTTATTTAAAAAAAACTTTAAATGTTTATTACAAATCACAGTGTAGTCATAAAATACTCAGTGAAATGTCATGCAATAAGGGATGATTTTGTCTTGATTTTTATATTAAACCAGCTCTTGCCCGCGACTTCGTCCCGGTAGTGTTTAATAAAACTGTAATTTGTTTTTACTCTCATGTTCTAGACATAGTATGTGTCAATTCTATCAATAAGATTTGCAATTTTATTGTAAAGAAATTAATTATATAAAGAATTGCTAATAATGCACTTCAGCGCGCCATCTCGGATTCAACTATTTAACTATAACTATGATAGAATGTCAATGCCAACTTTTATCCTATAGAAAAAGGCTGTCTTTAGAGTTTTTCCGGCAATTATTCGATTTTTTCTTGCCGAAAAAATTATCCTTGGACTATAACAAACATTTAAAAAAAGAATTGGCCAAATTGGTCTAGGCATTGTTGAGTTATGCGCTTACCAACAGATCTTGCGATTCATTTTTATATTATAGATCTGTTTACAATTTTCGGTAATTTTAATCAAAATTTAGAAAAACATGTTTTTTGTGTTTTTCTCCCGAAAATATTCCCAATTTTACAATTAGTATGATATTATTTTTTGCTTTTTAATAAAATAAAGCATTTAACAATATATATTGAGAGAATATAGAAGTTGAACATCGTCAAGGGTCGATTTCGATCGTCCTCGCGCTCGTTTTCCAATATTTTCTCGAGCTTTCTAGAGTTTCCTCAAGTCTCCTTGAGTTTTCCTCCATTTCCAGCTGTCTCTCCTCTTTCGCTTCACTCGCGTACATTCGGTCATGATCAACACCGATTTTACCGCCCCCGAGCGTCTACTAAACCCGCACTTCGGTAACATACAGTGTGACCGAAGCATAAAACACGTTTATCCCTAGAAAAAAACTAGTCGTTTTGATTTATTTATGGCGAAGCATAAAAACGTACTCTCCTTTTATCGGCCAACACCCTGTTTAAAGTTGCACAAGGTCGTAAAAGGATTGCGAAACGACTCAACGAATAAAAATAGAAGCGACACACACGTCTCGGCGCAGTGAAGGGGGTTGGTTCATGCATTTTTAAAGATTTCCACGCTCGCGCCTGCTCGAGGAAATGATATTAAATGGAAGTATAGAAGCACTTGGAAGCACCTGGAAGCCGGATGTAGGTTGTGCGGTAAGAGTGCCGCAGAGTGGGTGGAGAGGGTGGGAGGATATCCACGTCTGTCAACGCCAACGGAAAATACGAGTGCGTATATCGCAAGGGAAAAGAAAAGAAAATATAGATTCATTTAGGAACTGATATAAGGTGGAATGATATAATTAAAACAATAAATTTGCATAAATATATTTTAGGCCCTAAGTAGAAATATTCATAATTTAGTAAAAAATGATAATTTCTTTGTCTACAGTCATCAAAATTTTTTGATTTAAAATGAATAACATTTTGCATAAAGCCACGAGGACAAAGTCAATGGCGAAAACTAGTCTATAATATAAAAATGAATCGCAAAATCGTTTTGGCGCATAACTCAGCGCATAACCTTGAACCTATTTGGCCATTCTTTTTAAACGCGTTTGTTGCAAAAACCCAGGATGGTTTTACGGCGAAAAATTCGAATAATTGCCGGGGAAAATGACAACACTTTTCTATAGGATAAAGGATTACGACATTGAATTGCAATCATTACTCTAGTTAAATAGTTTACTGATTCAGAGATGATGGCGCATGAAGTGCATTATTGGCAATTCTGTATATAATTAATTTCTTTAAAATAAAATTGCGAATCACTATTGATAGGGTATTTTATATGGGTAAAAGGGGTAATATAAAACGTCACTTAGGGAGAACTCAAATATAATTTAAATTATAAACAAAATACTTATTGCAATCGCTTATAAGCATTGTTTATAAATACCTATTATTTGAAATAATTTTCGGTCACTTTGACAATCAATTTTGAAATTAGTAAAGTTTAAAAAAAACAGATTTACGACTCCCATTACCACACCGACATACCAGGGTAATGAAGATTTGGTCATAGGGAACAATCGGAATCAAACGAAATCTAGCAGATATCGCAAACATAATATTCCGCAAAGTCCACCCAGTGCATTTCCCACATGAGCCCATAGCCCAAATGAAGTGCTATGAACCACATTTAATTGTTTTTTTAAATCGTTTGCACATTAGACATCAGTTTTCCAAATCTTCATCCATCGCCCTGGCATAGTCATCGGTATAGGAATCATGGTTTTGCTTTCTACTGCGAGTATCGTTTCACCGGAAAGCGCTGAAAAATAAGTCACT